ACACACACACACACACACACACACACACACACACACACACACACACAGACACAGAGAAAGCACAGTGAGTTACAGTGAACCAATTCTAAAGACTTACAGATCAATTTGACCCTTTAAAGCCCTTTAAAGAGAGAAAATCTTTAAGTGGCCATCTAACAAAGTATGAAAAAACAGAAATAATTTCTTAATATTCATCATTTATTACAGTGCGATAAGTAAAATTCATTGTGGTGTCGTCTTCTGCCCACTTTTATAAGGTTAATCTGATTGTGTACAACGGGGTTTTGAACCAAGTTTTTACCATTAGATGATGCAAAAGGTCTCAGATGCAAAACATTTCAGAAACAGTGTATCAAATATGGAGACTTTAAAACCACCAACACGGACCAGCCTAAATGGGGTCATAGTGCTCCCTCCCCAGCAGCACAGGAACGGGCCCCCCCAAACAAAGGCCGGAGTGTTCACCCGGCCTCCTAATCCCCAGACACCACTGGGCAGCCACGGCTGAACGAGTGGTCCTTACTCTACAGGTGCTCAGGGCATACTTATCATTTGCCATTTGTTTTTGTTTTTTTTCGAGGAGACTACTTTTTCTCTTCATTTAATGTTGCACTGATGCATTTGTACGACAAATGTGAGACATTTCTGCATCGTTTCGTGTGTTTGTGCTCCTGTACAGCCCTGTAATAGGGGCTCAGCCCAAAAACTCTGACCCTATCGTACACAGCAGCAGTTAAACTGTGTTTTTGGCTACAAATTCTAACGCCATCCTGGGGGAGTCGGTTAAGACCAAAATTCCAGAAATCCATTTTTAACATCCCTCAAGATCCTCTTCTCTTCTCCACAAACCGAAGCGCCCTTGAGCAGAGTTATTAAGCAATGGCCTCAGCTGGAGTAGAGCGTTGTTAGTGAGTTCCAGATGATTGTGTCACCAGGAGATCTTAGAGTTTCGCATTACAATGAGAGAATGGTTTCTCCATGCTCCACCCGTCTCGCATCCTCTCAGCTCGGATTGCGCAGACTTCCGAAAATCTATCAAAACATCTTCGAAAGAGAGGCCTGGTTTGGTTCTGTTCTCCCCGAAAGCACTTTCATCCCAAGCCTTATCGGCATAAGCAGCCCTCAGAGACGGAGCATTAAGCGAGAACACGGGAGGATTTGCTCTTAAACGCGGGCACAGGTTTCTGGAACAATGAGGCAGCGTCTGTCCCTCAACCCCGACCCCTTCTTCCGCCTGTGTTTGTTTCAGATATTGTTCCAGTGGGAATTATCGCCGGTGGCACGGTGGGCTCCTCCATCCTGCTGCTCATGCTCCTGCTGGCGCTCGCCTTCTTCCTCTACCGCCAGCGCAAAGGCAGTGAGTGCGCGCTCCGTTTTTTTTTTTTTTTTTTTTTTCTCCATCCGTTTGTGTGAGGGCACGCACACCTCCCCTGTGTGTCTCCGTCAGTCTGCCTTTCATCCAGCCTCCCTCGTCTGTCATTTTGCCTTTCCACCAAGAAAGTGACATATGCCAGCCGTGGAGCTTTTTATTCAAATGAGATTAATGAATATTCATATAATGTGGCAAAATGCCTTAAATCGCCCACAGTAGATTTCCATTTTTCTTCTGCTGACATTGATGTTTATGATTTTTTTTTGTATATATATATGTGACAAGATAAAGCAGGACGGACCATAAATAAACAGATCTGCCAACAAAAAGCATTTAAAAGTGAATAATGTTATAAATTCCTATATGTGTTGTTTCTGTGGCCTACGGCAATCCAATTAGTATTTATGAAAACAAACCACGCTTCCACAAACCAGAGATCTAAAACCATTTGGTGTCTTAGTTTGTTCATTTTGAGCTGCAAATAAAGAATGGGGAAAGACGGTGAAGGTGACTGGCAGAGTCCCCGGAGGGATTTTCTGGGGATAAGAGTACATTCTCTGGTTCAGAGCTGATAAACACCACTACAGAAAGGAATTTGGAAATAGAAACTCAAACAAACAGAGCTGTCTCTCCAGATAAACAGTCTCTTGTTTGTAGTCGACGAAGCGGCTCCAGACTTCACTGACTGAAATCTTCTCTTTTAAGATTTCTGTCTGCGGAGGAGCGTTGTTCATGTTAACAAATGCCAACCACTCAGCACTAAGGACACAAAAAGCTGAGCATGTCAGGATAACAAGACAGTGTTTTCGACAGAGAAAGAGTCTTTTCATTGCACGGAAAGCCGCCTTTTTGTAGCTGGGGATGCCTTATCCCGGCAAAGGTAAAACTCTTATGACAAGGGGCTTCTGCTGCACTTGTGCTGTGCTGGTCAAACCCTGTCCAGACAGACAGGAAAAGTCCAGAGAATATCATTAATGCAGTAGAAACTCTTCTTTTTCTTCGGCCTGTCTCCTTTAGGGATGCTCACAGCAGATCAGTTGCCTCCATCTCACTCTTTCCGTGGCCTCCTCCTCTGTCATCCCGACCTGCTGCATGTCCTCCAGCATCAAACCTCTCTGAGCTCTTCCTCTCCCCCTCCTGCCTGGCAGCTCCATCTCCAACACTACTTTCCCTCCTCTGCACATGTCCAAACTCTCTCAGCCTTGCCACTCTAACTTTGTCAGTTCTCACATCCAATTCCAACCATTCTGGTTCAGATAATACAAGAGAAACAATTTAAAATGAACTCTAATGAAGGACATGAACGATCTAAAAAGAAAATGATTACCAACTAAATCAATTGGATTAAGAATTTGTTTAAATTACCCCAAAAAAATGGTTACAAACACAGATGGTGCCAATATCTGCATTGTTTAATTCATGGAAATATCTTACAAACGAGGCAGTATATCGCCTCTCTGTCAGAGATTGTTGCCTCTTTTTTCTCTTCGGGGGCTCCAGCTTCCTCCTACAGTCCAAAAGCATGCATTTGAAGTTTATTCAAGACTTTAAATTGGCCCTAGAAATGAATTCATATGAGCTTGGGGGCTGTGTCCCGCCTCTCACCCAGTGAGACAGCCGGGACAGGCTTTAACAAGCTTTAATATTTGAAAGTTGTTTTGAATATTTACATTTTTCAAATCGACAGTTTCCAAAGTTAAATTGGAAAAGATCCATTTATAAAAACATGTACTTGTGTGTAATAATTATCCTTCAGAATTTAGGGTCAAGCTTTAAATAAAAGACAAGCTCATGTTCCTCTTTTCACAGTAGGAAATTGATCGTTTTCTGTTTAGAAATTATTAATAGAGGCAACATGAAAATTGGCCAACATATGATTTATTTTTTAATTATCAAAGCTTCTTCTTGCTGCCGCGCAAAATCATAAAAGATTGATCTGATTAACGTCGCTAACTCCAGCGCACAGAATGAACTGAACAGCTAAGTGAATGTGACACGTAATTAAATCTTTGTGGATAAAAACGAACAAACTTAACTTGTTCCCAAAAATCTGCGTCCATTTCTGATAATGACAAATGACGACGACGGCCCAAACTATCCCGAGACCCACAGCGGAGGCTTACGTGGCTCACCTCATTTTCAGCCATAACTGACCATAATAAAGAAATTAATGGAATGTGAAGTTTCCTGACATCCCGCTTCATCATCATGATGTCAACTGATGTCCTCAGGGTTTGAAATTGCTACCTTTTGCGTCTCAGTGAGGCAGCGAGCAGACCAAATTGCGTAATGCACCATGATCAACATGGGGGCAAAAAACAAGGAAAATAATAGATCAGGCAGATGAAAAAACACGTGGAAGTGGAAGGCACTCTGGGTTAGAGCTGTTCTGCTGCTCCTCTGCGCAGACTGATGAGAAAATCAAGAGAATATGACAGAGCCTATGTTTGCCTTTAAGGTCGCCGCGGCGTTACCCTCGGTAAACCAGACATCAAGGTAGAGACGGTCAACAAAGAGAGCCACAGCCTGGAGGAGGAGGCGGCCAACGTCTCCACGGCAACCAGGATGGTCAAGGCCATGTACTCCGTAAGTAGACTCCCGTCTGAGTCACCGGGGGGCTTTGGGAGAGGAGGCGTATGGGTCAACGGCCTTAAATGTGCAGCTCCACCGCCACGGAGAGCGCAAGGCGCACGCTCACACGGCCGAGCGTGCACGCGCACGGGAAAACATGAGCGCAGGCACACGCACACAAAGGCTAAATCAATACAGAGTGTTCAGACGCGAGAAAACGAACGAAACCAGACTGAAGAATTTCCTTTTACGCACAGAAACGCGCACACACAGCGGCGCTTGTGCTCTAAGAACGCACGTCCAGCAAGGCCGCGTGCAGAAAGCAGCGCAAACTGACCAAAAAAAAATGCCCACTTTCACGTTGTCCCCCTTTTAGAAAAGCCCCGGAAGTCCTGGAGAATCTAATCGACGGCGCGCCTTCGGCAAGGTTCCAAACCGTTTTTTTCTCGTCTTCCGGCCTCTTGGGATGAAAAAAGCTGAAACTTTCTTCTCCTCTTCCCTCCCTCTCTTCCTTCTCCTTTCCTTTCCTCACCCTCCCTCTTTCCGTGTGTGTGTTCCGTTGTTTGATGGTTTAGTTTTTGCCCTCTGTTTCCCTCTCTCCCTCCACTCAGCCGTTCAAAGACGACATGGACCTGAAGCAGGACATCAGGAGCGAGAGCGACACGCGGGAGGAGTACGAGCTCAAGGTGAGGAGAATCCTGATGTTTGGGAATGCTGACACTCGACTATCGTATCACGCACGGAGCTTAAGCTTTGTGATCATGTTTATCTCTCTGCTTTTTTTTTTTTTTTTTCTTCAACACAGCATTTGCACTTCAAAAGGTCCCTCTTTGCATCTCCAAAGAAAAATGCTCTGGTATCTGTAGCTAGTTTGTATTATAAGGTCATTTCTGATGGAAACATTTCTCTTGGGAAAGGTCAGAGTCATGCATTTCGATGCAAAGTGCCGCATCTAAGCGCGATCCCACCTGTAATTGCATTTATTTCCGTGTTCTGCAGGCACCCACATAGACACACTTACTCCCGTTCAGTCTGTGCTATCAAATCAGATTTCTGTAGCTCCAAATATTCATTCAGCGCCCGTTGATCAACGGTATTTTTTTTCAGCAAAAAATAAAAAAGAAAGGTTTTCAAATAAAAATGAGTGGTCTATAGATACTTGCAAATAAACCTTTTTAATAACTAAAATAAAGTTTTACAATCCACATTTTTCCCTGAATGTCAGCAAGTCTGAACCTAATTTTGAACCACTTTTACCACCATTCATAGAGTTTCTTCATCATACACATATACACATACTGTGATTCATCTTTCACTACATGGGAACCAACAAGCAAATCCCCCCACAACGTAGCACATAGTATGAGTCATGGCTTCATCATAAGCTTTTGATCTAATGGTTTCTTTTTTCCTTCAGTTTGAATGAATTTTTATTAGCCTCATTTAGAAATTGATCTATTATTCAGTAATTATTTGTTAAATTACTGTTGCGTCTTTTACCTTTGTAAACTGAGACCTGCAACATAATGTTGATTATGACTGAAATCAGGAACATGTGCAGCACATGGCAAAGTGACACTAAATCTCTTTCTATGTCTGAGCATCCGTTTCTTCTGTTTCTCATCACTTTTTCTGACCACAGGATCCAACCAACGGTTACTACAACGTCCGGGCCACCACCCACGAGGAGGCGCGCCCCCAGTCCCGCGTGGTGCACTACCAGGGGGAGTTCCGCTCTCCAAACCCGAGCGGCGGGGGGGCCGGCGCCGCCCCCGGCGGCCCCGCGGCGGCCGGCGGCGCTGGCGGCGGCCCCGC